AGATGGGCCCCGTTTTAACCCCTTTTTTTAACACTTTTTTCACGGAAAAAAATTTTTTTTGGTGGGCGTTGGACTTTCCCCCCACAAAAAAGGGGGGAAAGAACCTTTCCCCCAAAAACATTGATTTTGTCCCCGTTGGGGGGGCGAAAGCTTTTTTTACAATTTAAATTTGGCCTAAGAAACTTCCAGGGCGGAAAGCGAAAACCCAAACCGGAAACTTTTTTCCGGAGGCGGGCAAAAACCATAAAAAACGGGTTTCTCATTGTCAAATCCCCCCCTCGAAAAAAGTGGTTCCTTTTTTTTGTTTCCAAACCCAAAAAAAAATACAGGCCCCCGTCCGGGTGAAATTCCTTTCCAATAAAAAAAACACATTTGGCCCCCCCCCCCCTGTTTTAATTTTAATTTCGTCACAACAGGGGGGGTTTTGGCCCCTTTTCTCCCCGGGGAACCCCCCCCCCCCCCCCCCCGATCGCATTCTGTCGGGCAGCGCTCGGAATGCATGGGGGAGACTCTACGAGACATGCCCGTTGTTGAAACCACGCCGGTCTCCAACCCCCGCCCCCCCCAACGTATCGTGTTTGTGTGCATTTTCATCAGCATTCATTGCCGTGGACCAACCGCCCAGGCCTACCCACGTCCCGCCCCATGTGTTATCTTCTCCCATTATTCCTATGTGCTATGTGCCGTACTGATGTCCCGTTCTGGCCCCTTGCGACTAATGTCATCGCTTGCTCTTTGTTGTTTCATCTTTTTTAAGGGTGTACGAGGTGATGAGGCGCATCCGAAAGTGCTTCAAGTCCAGCAACACCCAGGTGGTCCTGAGGGCGCTCGACCTGACAGATACCCTCATGCAGTCCTGCGGGTCGCACGCGAGAAGGGAGGTGTCCTCCGATAAGTTTCTCAAGCTCATCGGCAAGCTCTGCAAGGTCGGTGTTCTGTGTTGGTTAGGAAGGTCGCTTGACCTTTTTCGTGGTGATGGCGGCTTGTTGTAGTCATCGGGCTTTTGTGCTATTGCGAATACCAGGCGTTTGTGAACCCACCTCGCAGCACGTAAGGTTGGTGGGCATAACACCGTTCACGAAGCACGGACGGTCTATCACCTGCGGTCAGTCGCGATAGCAATGATCTAAACTTGCCGCTGCTGCTGCTACTGTTGCTGCTGTTGCCGCCGCCGCTGCCGCTTTCACCACCTGCGTCTTGTCTGCCTTGCGTAGGTTACGAAGACGAGACTCGACCCGTCGTGGCAGACGGTGTCGGAGCGAGCGCAGGACCTGGTTGTCGGTTGGGCCGAGGCCAGCGAGAGGATGGTGAGGGTCGCGAAAGCAAAGGCGGGGTGGATTGCAAGCACCCCGTGCGCGTGCGATATGGGCGCACGCGCACGGATCCTGCTGGTTTGTTGTTTTTTTGGCTTGTTGGTGTCATGACTCGGATGCGGCGTTCCGTGATCTATAGAAGCCAAAATCAAACCATTGGACCTAGCCAGGCTTCCGAAAACGTAAGTCGTAGGAAATCAAACCCTAAGACTTGTCGGCGAACATTTGTCCGATGGTTTGATTTCGGTTTCTAACGACCTCAGGGTCATGGTAAGGGTATGGCCACCCCGTTTCGATTGACGTGCCTGGCGGGCACAGTCCTCGAGAAGCACGTCTAGAGGGAAGCTCGAGGACCATCACCTATACCACCCTCCCCGTTACGCGACGCGCCCCCCCTCCCGCTCACATGCCTACATACACGCAGGTGGGGTCCAGCAACCGTTTTACTCAAGCTATGTCGAAAATCTAGCACCCACCGTCCCTCCCCGCGACGTAGCGCATACCCTCGCGTGCCAACTGCCGTAACAGGACAACATTTTGGGATGAGAGAATGAGAGGATGCTCAAAAAAAGAAACTCAACTGCTAAGCCTCTCTCTTAACCGATACTCCCCCACTCACAATTCTACACCAGCAAGTCTAGTTGCCAGCCCAA